TATCCCTGGCGCCCCATAGAGCCCCAGATAGGAGACGAGGGGGGTGGGGGGGGGAACGAGGGGAATGGGTGGGAACGAGGGGCTCACCGTTCCTCTCAACGCCCAGGTGCTTGAGCAACGCAGCCTCGATGTCCCTGGCGCCGCGCAGCATGCATGGCGTGGCATGTGTGTGCGGTTGACATGAGGGGGATGGTAAACGAGGGGCTCACTCACCGTTCCTTTCGACGCCCAGGTGCTTGAGCAGCGCAGCCTCGATGTCTCTGGCGAGGTGACTTTCGAGTGGACTCAAGAGGGGGGTGGGTGGGAAAGCCGGGAATGGGAGACGAGGGGCTCACCGTTCCTCTCAACGCCCAGGTGCTTGAGCAGCGCAGCCTCGATGTCTCTGGCGCCGCGTAGCATGCATGGCGTGGTGCCACACACAAGCAGATGGTACTTTCCCACCTGCATGTCATGCCATGGTGTGGCATGTGTGAGTGTGATTGACAATGACATTGCACGAGGAGGGACACATTTATGGTGCATTGAACATGTGTGTGCAATGCTTGAGAACAAAGCAGCCTCGATATCCCTGGCGCCCGCAGCATGCATGGCGTGGTGCCACATACAAGCAGATGGTACTTGCATGACGTGAAGGCGGTGACACATGCCATGCCACCCGCCACATTACGCACTCGCATATGCCTTGCCATGCAGTGCATACCACATGACATGCTAAGTAAAACCACATACGCTACATGTGATGAATATGAACTTTGCAATGTTGTACACGGCATGACAACACCTATCATATCATATACCCGTGACACCCGTTGTCCACTGAAAGTTGTATCGTTTGTCAGCACAGCAGCACGCACCGGTTGTCAAACGTTGTACTCTTTATAAGCACAGAATCACTAACCGGTTGTCTGTTGAACATGGTGTAGAAAGTCGCGACCTCGTACACGCGAATGTAGGGCATGCCCAATAGGTTCGCCACCTGCATGGGGAAATACGAAAAGAGAGAAAATGTGATGGGAGAAAAGGGGCATGCAACCTCCATGTATGATGCTCATACACGCGAATGTAGGACATACCCAGAAGGTCCCCACCTGTGAGGGCGGAGAGAAGAGAAGAGATGACGGGAGAAAAAATGTTTAGAGAAGAAAGACTTTGCGACCTCATACACGCAAATGTAGGGCATGCCCAATAGGTCCGCCACCTGGGAGGTGGGGAAGGGAAGAGAGTGATGTGATGGGGGAGAGAAAATGACTTTTGAGGCGCCTCAAGAGTGATGTGATGGGGGAGAGAAAATGTGATGCGAGGGAGAAAACACGATCAGAGAAAGGCAACACTGCCTCATACACGCGAGTAAGATGTATTATACGCCACCCTGCTCATCTGCCACTCATGCAGGCATCAGACCTGTTAGAAATCATGTAGGATGTATTCTTATGAAAACAAGGGAATGCATAGGATGCAAGAGAGGTGGAAGGGAAGGAATTGGTTGGGGGCAAAGTGATGGTTAGGTCCGGATGCTCAACCACCATTGGTCCCTCCCACAGTGTGGTCGGTTGAACCAATCACAAAGTTGGGACCAATTTGATTGATAACCAATCACTACATTGCTTGTGTTGGGGGCTCCACCAATTAGGGAGGATGGCCACCCTAACACAGATGTACACTGAAGGTAGGATACATGCCCAACTCGACTGTACACCACATTGGTCTACAGTCACAAAGCCTAGCATGCTACCATATGATCTAACCATAACATGCTACCATCAGTAGGCCGCGCACGGGTCATCACACCAGGGCAGGGCAAGGCAGCACGTCTGACCTAACCTTGATTATGGCGGCATCAGTGAGCCAGCCGCCGTTCTGCTGCTGCACAGCCTGACCTGCGTTGCACATGGCGCACTGCTTGCTTGACACACACACGCACACATGCAGCACAGCTCGTTCCAGCCACTTGCACACACATGCAGCACAGCTCGTTCCAGCCACTTGCACACACATGCAGCATACCTCGTTCCAGCCACTTGCACACACATGCAGCATACCTCGTTCCAGCCACTTGCACACACATGCAGCATACCTTGTTCATGGCTGCAACGGTGAGCCAGCCACCGTTCTGCTGCTGCACGATTTCGAGGATGGGGATGACAGCTGACTGGCGGTAGTTGGCGGGGTAGTGCGATATGAGCTCGTTCGCCTGGCGGGGATGGGGTTGTATGATGTGAAGTACAGGCGAACGGAAGGGGGAATTAGGATGAGCATGGGCGTCTCCTGATGCACTCGAGTATAGAGATCACGGCTGACTGGCGGTAGTTGGCGGGGTAGTGCGATATGATCTCATTGGCCTAGGGGGAGGGAAGGAGGGAGGGAGGGGATGGTGATGTGCAGGTGAACGAAAGGGGAAATCAAGGATGCGCATGAGCATGCAATGCTGCAGTGCACGATTTCGAGGATGGGGATGCCGGCTGACCGGCGGTAGTTGGCGGGGTAGTGCGATATGATCTCGTTCGCCTGGCGGGAGAGAGGGAGGGAGGGAGGGAGGGAGGGAGGGAGGGAGGGAGGGAGGGAGGGAGGGAGGGAGGGAGGGAGGGAGGGAGGGAGGGAGAAAGGGTTGCGAATCGCAATTGATATGACTTATGAATTAATTCGATCAGGACTGGCGGTAGTTGGCGGGGTAGTGCGATATGATCTCTTTCACCTGGCGGGAGGGAAGGTGGGAGGGGATGGTGATGTGTGCAATGTACAGGTGAACGGAAGGAAAAATCAAGGACGAGAATGAGCGTGTGATGCTGCACGTATGTCAAGGATGGGGATGACGGGTGACTGTGGAGGTAGTTGGCGGGGCGGGGTAGTGCAAAATCTTGTTCGTCTGGCGAAAAGGAGGGAGGAGGTGTGACGTGCGTGCAGATGTTGAATCCGACAAGTATAAGTTGTTTGTTAAAAAAACATTGAAACTCATGTGGAATCGGACAGATGTGACATAAACAATGAAATGAGCCACAGGCGAATGAAAGGGCGTGTTCAAACAGAGAGTGTCACTAAGGATGAGGGTGACAGACGGGAAGGTGGGGGTGACGGGAGGGTGACGAGAGAGTGACGGGACGGTGAGTGAAGGGTGCGTGGAGCGTGTGTCGAGGGTGCGCGGAGGGAAAAGGGAGGGTGAGTGAAGGGTGTGGAGTGTGTGTGGAGGGTGAGGGGAAGGGTGAGGGTGAGGGGAGGGTGAGGGGAAGGGTGAGGGGAAGGTGAGGGGAAGGTGAGGGGAGGGTGAGGGGAGGGTGAGGGGAGGGTGAGGGGAAGGTGCATGGAGGGTGTGCGGAGGTTGAGGGGGAGGGTGTGTGGAGGGTGAGGGGGAGGGTGAGTATAGTGCTGTTGGTGTCACCTTTTGCAGGGTGAGGGGGGAGAAGCGTCACCTTTTTCAGGGTGAGGGGGGAGAACTCGAAGGGCGTCTCGAGGTTGTTGTCTGGCGAGTCGCGATGCTGCAAGGTTTGAACCGCAGGGGAGAAAGGGGGAGAAGAGAAAGGAGAGGGGGAGAGGAGAATTGAGGTGCCTTAAGACTCAAAGGGCGTCTCGAGGTTGTTTTCTGGCGAGTCGCGATGCTGCAAGGTTTGAACCGCAGGGGAGAAAGGGGGAGAAGAGAAAGGAGAGGGGGAGAGGAGAATTGAGGTGCCTTAAGACTCAAAGGGCGTCTCGAGGTTGTTGTCTGGCGAGTCGCGATGCTGCATGGGTGAACCAGGAGGGAGAGTGGAGTGGGTAGAGGGGGAATGGGAAGGGGAGGGGATAGGCGGGAGTGAGACAGGGGGATGGAGAGGGAAAAACATTGAGGCGCCTTATGTCTCGAAGGGCGTCTCAAGGTTGTTGTCTGGCAAATCGCGATGCTGCACGCATAAAATGGCAGAGGGAGTTTTGGTGAGTAGAGTGCGAAGGCGAGGGAGGCAAACGGGGAGGTAGAATGAGGGAGACAAGTGGAGGAGAGAAGAAGCGGGGCAGTGGGAGAAGGAATGGGAGGGTAGCAGAGAAAGATACATAGCGGTTCGCAAGGCATGATGCTTAAAAGGAACGTGGAGGGAGGAGGGAGGCCGTGACAGAATTCTGTCAGGGGTATCGTAATACTGCGCCCGTGTTGCAACGGCCCTTCATGCTTCGCACTTGATGCTTTTTGCGACAAATACTTCATGCTTCATGCATGGTGCTTGATGCTTGGCTGACGCTGAATGCTTTGTGGTTGAGATTCTACGCTCCATGCTTGAAGCGCCATGCATCAAGATGCACGCCTTGTGCTTCATGCTTCAAGCACGCTCACTGCAAATCAGTGAACCCGGTTACCAGGTAACGCTCACTCACAATGTTGAGAGCCGTCGAGAAGAGGCGAGAGGAGGCAGCTGCTTGCGGTGCCACTACCGCCAGAGGGGAGGCGGCTGGCACGGGCATGGGGGGGGCACCGGCTAAGGGCAACGCGGCCGCCACACCCTGACCGCGGCGCTGCAGCATGTGGGGAAAGGGGAGGGTGAAGGGGGAAAGGGGAGGCGGGAGGGGGAAGAATGGGGGGCCGGGGGAATGCAGAGTATACTTGAGCCACTTCTGAAATATTGTGACTTCTGAGGCGCCTTTTGAGGCGCCTCGATAACCAGGGTGTGCAAGGTCACCTGCAGGACATGATTCTGCAGACAGGAGACGGGGAATGCCTCCGAGTATAGCTGGCGCAACTTTTCAGAACTCTCAGAAGCAACTGTTCTTCTGTAGGTTCTTAGAGCTGCGGGAAGGGACGAGGAACTTAGGTATCCAGCAACGCAATCGACGAACGGAAATCCATCTGGGTGCGATCGACGGTATTAATGTAACTTGCTATTAAGAACCGCCTGACGAATCGCCGTGTGACGCTGTCTTGACGTCCCTAGGGGATCGATTCAGGCATTTGGACAGTTTTCGGGGCTCCTCCTCTATGGTCCGTCAAAGAGATCGAAGTATGAGATACTCGCTCTGCCTGGTAGTTACAACCACGTAACGACGTAACCAGAAGCCCGAATACCCGTCAGCCGATCGTACCAGGTAGTTACATCCACGTGAAGAGGTTACTATTAGTTACATATAACATAACACGATCGTACCAGGTGTCGGATATTCGCCATGTGATCGTATCAGGCCACGGGATGTCATTCATGCGATCGTACCATGTACGTGGAGCAGCGGCTGGCGGCCGTCGCCAGGATCCGTGCGACGCGCGACGACTGCATGGCGACGGACGCGATGAGCGACGATGATCGGACGGACGAAAGTGATGCAGTTGCAGTGGCAGTGACGCAATCGGTACTACGAGACTCCTCAAAAGTCGGCCTCAGAAAGTACGCGCAATGGGCCGGATCGGCGGATCTGAGGAGATGACGCGGAGGCGAAACGGGAATGGGCGAACGGAATCTGTGAAATGGCGGACGGTTAACTCGAGATGGGAGGCGGGAGATGCGGAATGGCGATGATGGGTTCGGTTTCGGTGCGAAGAGGAAACGGCGAAGACGCAGCAACGCGGCACTTCGGCCTCGTTTCAACTCCGATTTATGGCTAAGTAGGGAACTAAGGGAAGCTCAGCCCACTAACCGCGGCAATCCCAGCCTTGCGGAAGGTAAGGGTAAAAGGCGGAAGGAAGAGGGCGGGGAGTGGAAATGAAGGGGGACTGGGGAGATTGGAAGGGGGGTGTTCCTGGTAACGAGGCGAACGAGGATTGGCTAACGAGGCGAACGAGCCCTGAAATGAACAGGCGACACATTTTGGAAGAACTTGGTTCGTGTCGTCAATACTGACGAAGTAGGCGACACACAACCAGTAACAAACTCCCAATGACCTTCCCCCACCTCTCCCCACACAGCCTTATTCACAAAACTTTCCGCCAAACCCTCCCCTCTTCCGCCTAAAGTTCCCCCATGCTACGCTAATCACATATTTTTATATCTCTGCTGCCTTGATTATCCCTCCCGTCTTTTCCCTTTTCCTCCGTTGTCTCCCGTTGGTGCTTCGATCGTAGCGTCATCTCACTGCAAACGCCCATAGAGCCGACAAGATCTAGGTAAGCGCGGGGTCGCACGAGTTCAGGTGACCGTTTGCGGAAACGTGCAGAGTCTGCGAGGTCTGCAAGAGGATTCGTGGGGTTGCAAGTTAAAATTGATCTAGTGGGCGAGGCTGCGGGATCGGGTTACTTCGTTTGATCAAGCTCGCAGAGTGCGTCGTTGAGGCAGGCTGGCGGTGGTAGAGGGAAGGGGGGCCTAAGAACCTGCCGTTAATCACTTCCATGTCGCTTTAGTCACTAACCGCTAGCATCTGCTTCTGTTCCCGAAGACGGTCGCGTTCAAGGAACTGGAAACACGAGCCGCGTAGAAGATTGCGATGCGAAGGAACAAGAGGAATTTAGCGTGAAACAGGGGGGGGAGGGAGGGGCTTTCCCTGCTCGTCCTGATTGTCTTAGACCGCATCTCCCGCCTAACCGTGTCTGAATACCAGGCTTCTCTCCTTCGCCCCATTCGCCACTACTCCCCGGTTCCTCTATCCCTATTCTAACCCTCCGACTTTCCCCTCGTCGCCTCGAGTTTTGAGACGTCTCTAAACTCGCTCCGACCCTCCGATCCCCCCTCCTGTCCTGCTGCTCTCCGTCTCTTCCTGTTTCCCTCGTCGCCTTGCCTGCGTATCCTTTCTCTCCACTCCCCTTCAATCATCTCCGCTCTTTCCGCTTCCCTCCTTTTTCTGGCTTCGCTAGTGTGTCTCCCTCTCCGTGTCTCTCTCCCCCTATTCTCTCCTCTCGGCCTCTCCATTTCGGAAACTTTTCTTCTTCTTCCCCTCTTCTCCCTCATCTCGTCTCTTATGTCCTCCACTGTTTCCTCTCCTTTCCCCTCCCCTCTCCTCCTTTCCCGTCCCCTTCTCGTCTCGGATCTTCAAAGCGCTTTTGTTCTCTTATTGACCTTGGGAGTACAAATTCCAGCTTGGTCCCAAACCCAAGCACACCTCTTTCCCTTCCGTCACTCTTCCACAGGTTACCAACCAAACCCTCACTAGCAGCTGGCAGCTTCTTTTCCTGTGCGGCGTGAGGCCAATCTCCTGCCAATCCGACTCACATTGTGATTCGAAGTGCCGTAATCGCAAGGTGCTTCACACTGTGCGCTGTCGCCGGCTACCTTACGCTTCTGTGGACCGTTAAGTACCGCTCTGTACCCAGTCTGTCAGCATGTTTATGGGAGGGCCCCCGCGTCGTCCTGAGAAGGCTGCTGCGTTGAAGCAGCTCAGGCAGCACCTTGCTGTGCTGGGGGTGTGGGTGGTGGCGATTAGGCTCACGCCATATGTGCTGCATTTCCTCACAAAAGAGAAGGAGCAGCTTACTCTTGACTTGTAACTTACATATTGAATTCTTACGTGAGAATTAGATTCGGTGTGCGGATATCTTATTGGAATCGTTGAGTGAGACTGAAAGTACTACAAGGTCCTCTTAGGTTCTCTAACTTTCATTCTAAAGTAAGGGTATATGATTTCTTACTGTAACTGTTTTTAGTAATTGAAGCATACATCAAATTTCTTACCGTAGTAACGGATAGCGCGTATATCCCCAATGGCTCGCGTCAGCTGGTTCGGCCTATGTTTTCGCACCAAACCACTCCCGAGTCGCCCCCGCACTTTTCGCCACCCTTCCGAACCACTTCTAGCCCGAAGTCCTCGCATAGCTCGTTACCGCCTATTTTACCTCGTTACTCGATCATTCAGTTGTCTTGCATATTACACTCTCGATTTTCACACTAGAGTGCATTTCAGTTCGCCTGTGAAACCCGCACATTGGTAGCCGCACAAAAGCTTTGCACCCCAGTTCACCGGGCAAAACACCCAAAGCTCAACGGTCATAAAATTGGCTCCATAGTTCCCGCCCTGCGAGAATATGCCAGCCAGTCCGCACTGCAACCTCATACTAACTTTCATCATCTCATGTTCCCGTGTACTATAATTTCTTTGTTTCGGGCGACGAGCGTTTGAATTTATAGAGCGGAACGCAAGAAAATAGGCCCCGAAAGAGCGACGACTGGCTCCGACGACTGTCAACCAAGCCCGAATTTCTCGTCGGAACAGGGATTTCTCGTTGTGAACCAACCAGAGAAGGCTAAGAGCGAGATCAGTTAGTAACGAAGAATTAGATCTGGTATTCTTTATCTACTAGCAAAGATTAGAGATCACGAGGTGGAGCAAGGGATTGAAGAGAGACAGTCAGAGCAGACGAGAGGACTCTCTTAGAATCATCTAGAAACGGACACAGGTAGGGGTAAGGGAACGGCAATGGACAGGGGGAGGGAGAGGGAGAAAAGGGGAGGAGAGAGGGAAAGGGAGAGGGAGCAGAGGGAGCGACCGAGAGTGATGGAGAAGGAGAGAGATAGGAGCAAAGAGAGAGGTCGGGAGCGGGAAAAGGGGAGGGAGGGAAGAAGCGAGGCGGACGGGGAGGAACCGCGTCGGATGCGCGAAGAGAGGAGGGGAGAGCGGGAGAGGCGGGAGCTGGAAGTCCGGAGGAGCGGCGAGGGGAGGGGAGAGAGGGAGCGGGAAGTAGATCGGCCGAGGCGAACGAGGGAGGATGAGGGAGAGAGAGTGAGGGACGGGAAAGGAGGAACTGAGCGAGACAGAAATTGGGACAGGGATGAAGAAGGGGATGGAAACAGGGATAGGGATGGAGACAGGGGTAGGGATGGAGACAGAAATAGGGACAGGGGTAGGGATGACCGAGGTAGGATAACGGAGAAAGGTTCCCAGGAGAGAGAGGGAGGTTGGGAGGACCGGCGAGCAGAACGGGAGCGGAAAGCGCGCGGTGGCGATATGAAAGTCGCGTGCGGTGCGGGAAACAGGGACAGGGACGCTCGGAGCGGTGACAGGGACGGTCGGAGCGGTGACAGGGAGATTCGAAGCGGTGACAGGGGTAGGGATTCCCGTGCTGAAGGAAAAGACAGAGGTTTCCGCGATAAGGAGTTTCGAGACATGAACGGAGATAAGGATAGAGATCTGCCAAAAAGCGAGTCCCGAGGAGGGGTCAGAGATAGGCCGGAGAGGTGGAGGGAGCGATTGAGGGACGACGAGGGAAAAGGGGGCACGGGAAGAGAGAGAGTAAGGGACGACGAGGGGAGGGGGAGCAGGGGTACGGAGAGAGGATCGAGCTTCTCCGAGGAAGGTTCTGAGGAAGGTTCCATGGACCGAAAGCGAAGGGCGGAGCAGAGGAGGGAGGAGAGGCAGGAGGGGAGGAAAGAGGGGAGGAAAGAGGGGAGGAAAGATGAGAGGAAGGAGGAGAGGGAGGAGAGAGGTGGGGGGGAATATTTGAGTGATGAGGGTCAACGGAAGAGAAAGGAGGAGAGGAGGAAGGAGAGGGGTGGCATGGAGAAAGAGTTTTCAGACGATTCTCCTTCCAAGGCTGCAGCATCGTCTGCTTCTGACGACGACGATTCACGTGGCACTGCGGAGAAAGACGAGCAGAAGATGATTCCAGATCGAAGCCCCAAGCGACCCAGAACGGGCAGCAAGGCGAACGGCGCACAGAAACGTGAAGGGAAGAACTCAGAGAAGCGCGAGGGGAACAGCCCTGCCAAGGGCAAACCGGTCGCCTCAACCAAGTCCAAGGACCCTCCTGGGAGTGCATTGCCCCCTGCAACTGCATCGTCCCCTGTGCCTGCTGCTGGGGATGCATTGCCCCCTGAGCTAGCAGCGCTTGTGAAAGCTCGTCTTGCTGCTGCCAAGGCAGGCAAGCTTTGCACCTCTGCTGCCTCCTCTCCCGCCTCCCCCGCCCCTACCACTTCCTCTGCTGCTTCTGCTGCCGCGCTGCTCCCCCCTCCTGCTGCCTCTGTCAACAAAGCTATGCAGGCAGCAGCGGCTGTAGCGGCTGCTGCTGCTGCCGCTGCTCGCATTGGTGCCAGCATCCAAGCAGCTGGTGGCGGTGCTATAGCTAGCTTTTCAACGGCTACATCCGGTGCTTCTGGTGTTACATCTGGCATTTCCGGTGTTACATCTGGCATCTCTGGCGTTACATCTGGGGTCCCTGGTGTTACGGCTACAGCTGGTGGGATAAGTGTGAACCCTGTAGCGGCAGCAGCGGCGGCAGCAGCAGCACAGATGGTTGCAGCAACAAGAGCGGCGGCAATGGGTGAGTGACGGGGGGAGGGAGGGGGGGAGGTGAGTCTGGGGTTTCTGGTGTTGCGGCTTCAGTTCGTGGCGGGATAAGTGTGAACCCTGCAGCGGCAGCTGCGACGGCAGCAGCAGCGCAGATGGTTGCAGCAAAGAGCGCGGCGGCAATGGGTGAGTGATGGGGGGTTGGGTCTGGGGTTTCTGGTGGTACGGCTACAGCTGGTGGGATGAGCGTGAACCCTGCAGCGGCAACAACTCAGTTGGTTGCAGCAACAAGAGCAGTGGCGATGGGTGCGTGAAAGGGGGAGGTGGATGGGTGAAAAGGGGGAGGTGGGTGGGTGAAAGGGGGAGGTGGGTGAAGGGGGAAGGTGGGTGAAGGGGGGTGGTGAGTGAAGGGGGGAGGTGGGTGAGTCGTCGGGCAGCAGCTCAGATGGTTGCAGCAACAAGAGCAGTGATGATGGGTGAGTAACGGGGGGAGGGGGGTGAGTCTGGGGTTTCTGATGTTACAGTCTCAACTGGTGGGTTAAATGTGAGCCTTGCAACGGCGGCAGCGGCAACAGCATCAGCTGATTGCAGCAAGGACAGATGAATGCAGAGAGCTCGCGCTCCCACCTGGTGCTGAAGAAGCGGGATGCTTCAATCCAAGACCTGAACGCGGAACTTCAGAAACTCTGACCATTTGGCTGAGGCACAGACATCTAGCAAGCTCCTCGAGGAAATGTTCAAAGACTTGCTAGATGTCTGTGCTTCAGACAACGATGCTCAAAGTTTCTGAACTTCTGTGTCCAGGTCTTCGATTGAAGCATCCCGCTATTTCAGCTCTTCTTCCGTCTTCAGCATGAGCCAACAAAGGAAACAAATTAAACTGATGAATACAAATTATGAACCATGAGGGAAATGTGCATGTTTTGTAAGTGATTGGCAGCGGCAGCAGCAGCAGCTTTGATGGCCGATGCAACGACAGATGAATGCAGAGAGCTCACGTTCCCACTTGGTGCTGTCGATTGTCATCGACACCATTGATCGCCAGTCATGGAAGGTGAGAGGGACGCCTTCCCCTGGCACACGTTCTGTGTTTGGTGATCAATTATCTAGATGACAATTGACAGCACCAGGTAGGAGCGGCGCTCTCTGCAGTCATAAATGTGAACCCTGCAGTGCGGCAACGGCAGCGGCAGCAGCTCAGATGGTCACTGCCGCTGCCGCTGCTCCTTCTCCTTTTCCTGTAACGGCTGCCACTGTAGCTGCCGCAGCCCCATGCGCAGTACTAGCAGCAGCGTTGTCCTATTCTGAAATCCTCAAGTCCTATTCTTGAACGTAAACCCAGGACTTCTTCTCAATTGTTCAGAACCTTCTGTCTCCTCCCGCTGCCCTCTGTATCTCCTTTCCCTCCCTTTCCTTCCTCCCCACCCGCTGCATTTGCCCAGTGAGCAAAGGCATTGGAGGAGCCGCAGGGAGCAACGTTGTTGGAGGGGTGGCGCTCGGAAAGTCTGGGATGACGGCAGAGGAGAAGAGGAAGCTGCTGTGGGGCTCAAAGAAGGTCAGACGCGGTTAAGAGCGTTTGAGAGTGAATGAGTTGAGAGTGGTTGGGGAAGGTGAATCAGAGGTCAGAGAGGGGACAGAACGGTTGAGAGTGGTTAAAAAGAAGTGTAAGTTGTGTGGTGCGATTGGTAGGTTCTCATCTCGTGTATGCCACGAAACTCCCTGGGCTCATGTGAGCTCAGTATCTGTCTGTGGAACGACTGTATGCTATCTGCCTCTATGTGTCTAGTCCATTTCGCTGTCATCTAACACTCTTCCCCTCCCCTCACGCTCCCAGACGGCACCCTCCCTGTCACCCACCCTCCCCTTGCCCCTTTCCAGGAATCTGCACCAGCTGCTACCACGGCTCCTGCTGCTGCTGCTGTTGCCACTCCGCCTGCTGCTGCTGATGCTGCAGGGCCAACTGGTGGTGGAGTGACCACCATGACTGGTGCAGCTGCTGCAGCTGGTGCAGTTGGTGTGGGTGCGACTGGTGCGGGAGGGGTTGGTGGCAGCAGCAGCAAGGGGTGGGAGAATGTGCATTTTGGGGATCGGAGCCGAGAAGAGAAGTTTCAAAAGCTCATGGTGAAGTTTCGTTCAAAGGCTGATGGTGAAGTTTCTTTTAAATGCTGATGGTGAAGTTTCTTTTCAAGACTGATGGTGAAGTTTCATTCAAAGGCTCATGGTGAAGTTTCATTCAAAGGCTCATGGTGAAGTTTCATTCAAAGGCTCGTGGTGAAGTTTCATTCAAAGGCTCATGGTGAAGTTTCATTCAAAGGCTCGTGGTGAAGTTTCATTCAAAGGCTCATGGTGAAGTTTCATTCAAAGGCTCATGGTGAAGTTTCAATCTTCCCTATGCAACCTTCCCTCCTGCCCATCCCCCTTTTTTCTTACCTTCGCCATGCATCCCTTTATGCCTTGGCGTGCCATACAGGGGTTGAAGGGAGCCAAGGCAGCTCCAGCCACGGCAGTAGCAGCAGCAGCAGATGCAGCAGTGGGGGTGGTGATGTCAGAGGAAAAGCAGAGGGAGGTGCAGGAGCAGCTGGAGCGACAATATGTGGCTGGGCTGAGGCGCAAGGATGGGAGGACAGTTGGTTTGGGGCTTTAAGTCCGGATATAAGACATGAGGAGGTGCACAGCTCGAGGCACAGGCATCAGGAGCTACAAGAGGAGCTGGAGTGGCAGTATGGGGCTGGGGCTTTGAAAGCAGCAGCAGCAGCAGGCGGGGGAGGGGCAGCAGATGCACCAGTGGGGGTGGTGATGTCAGAGGAAAAGCAGAGGGAGCTGCAGGAGCAGCTGGAACGACAATACGTGGCTGGGCTGAGGCGCAAGGATGGGAGGACGGTGTGGGACTTAGTCTGTACGCGGGTGCTGCTGTGAGTGAGGAGGTTGAGGTGTCGAAACGAGAGGAGACAAGAGTCTCTTTAGAATCCTCAAATCGAATGTAGAGGTGTGGTACTGTGACTTTGGGAACGTTGAGGACGAGACGAGGCAGAGGGAGTTGCTCGAGCAGCTGCAAAGTGGTACGGTAGGATATGGCTGGGTTGAGATGCATGGATGGGAGGACGATGGGTCCTGGACTGTACAGGGCGTTGAGACAAAACAAGAGGGACTTTTGTGAGCAGAGCGGTAAGATGTGGCTGGGCTGAGATGCATGGATTGGGGGATTGGGGGACTGCTGGTTTTGTGCTTAAAGGGAGGCGTTGTGAAGTGCGTCGAATCAAGATGGAGAGGGTGAGGGAGGTGCATGAGGAGGTGGAGGGGGCTGTGGCAGTGAACTGGGGGGCTGGTATTGTGGAAGGTGAATTGAAAGATATTAAGTTTGCTAAGGCGGTAGTGATTGGTTGGTAGCCGGCGGTAGTGTACGATAATTTGGAGTAGCGCGAGAGGGGATACGCAGTGTAATCATTGGGATCCATCAACCTAGTGTCTTACGAACACCAAATTATATTGTGAGCATGTTTTCTGTCGAGCATACAGTTAAAAAAAAAAAAAATGTAATAAAAAAATGTCTGCATCCTATACCGTTTACTGACCACAGCACTTTGCTTGCTACTAAATGATGCACTTCACATGATATCTACGCAACACAACAGCATTGCCTTCTTACAGACACCTCAAAAGTCACAAAATAAATCCATATGATTGATGCGCAACAGAGTGCACCCCTTTTCTGACGTGCAAAGGAGGCAGAGCAGTACCGTAGCAGCAGCAACAGCAGCAACAGGAAGGCGCCACTACTACCGCTGTTGTCTTTCTCGAATACCGTATCTCCTCCCCCCACCACCTCATCTCCACATGCAGCAGAGGAACGGCAGCAGCAACACAAACGCACCCGATATAACGCACCCGATATACCCGATATATGCCAGGCCTTCAGCCACACACCCAGCAGCGCCGACAGCAGCAAGCGGCCCTGGCGGCCGCGCCGCACACAGTAGCAGCAACGCTGGAGCAGCAACCCCTTACTGGGTGAGACCATCTCACCTCCCACCACCTCATCTCCGTTTTGAGACGTCTCAAAACTAGCGGGCCTGCCGCATGCGATAGCAGCAACACTGCAGCAGCAACCCCTTATTGGGTGAGACCATCTTTCCCCCCACCTCCTCATCTCCGCATGCAGCAGAGGAACGGCAGCAGCAACACGAACGCACCCGATATAACCGCCATTTTTTGCCAGGCCTTGAGCCACACACCCAGCAGCGCCGACAGCAGCGGTCCTGATGCATACCCCGCAGTATACGCCAAATTGAACATCCCCACTGCAAGCGCCACGTCAGATGAGCCTTCCCCTGCTGCCGCCCGCTTGTCCAGCGCCTGGATTATACACGGCAGGCTGGGGAATTCCACTAACGAGTACGCCACTCCTGTGAGAGCTATTAACGGGTATAAAACGTGCAGCTGGCAGGAAACCCCTGGGATGACCAGGAGAGGGAGCGTCGCGGCGAGCATGGCAGCCCCGAGCGTGATTGTAGCCGGGGGTCCGAGTTTCCGGATCAGGAAACCACCGAAGAGGAGAGAGAAGAGCGCGTAAGAAGCACCGTTGATTCCCATGGAAATGCCGATCTCGGAAGGGGAGTGGTCGCAGGTGTTATCTAGAAAGAAGGAGACGGTGACCTCTAGGAGACCGTTGGAGAGGGTTTGCAGGAAGGTTAGGGCGAGCAGAGTGGCCGTGGTGCTGTCTGTGAGCATGGTTGCGAAGAGACGGAGCGCTGACAGCCGTTGATTCGGGCGGTGGTGCTTGGGCTTGGTGTGATCGACGGCTGGGGTTTGTTGGATGGAGTTGTGGGTTGTGGGGGGTTGGTGGGTGTGTTTTTTCTTCTGCTTCTGGTGGTGCTGCAGCTGCTGCTCCTGCCACGCTTGGACCTTTGCTGATGGGGCAATCAACTGTTGCGGTTGCTCCTCGTTTTGCTCCATCTGTTGCTGCTGCTGCTGTCCCAAGCCCCGTTCTAGGCCTCCCAGGCCTAGAACCCCAATTTCCACATGCCCTCTTTCCGTGGATCCCAGGGGGGAAAGCGGCACGTCCGCCGCCGCTGACCTGGATGAGGACCGTGCTGACGTGGAGCGTGTGAGGGAGGAGCTTCTGGAAGGAATGGCGAAGATGGGAGCGCCTCGGTACACGACGGGGCGTTCTTGCTCCGACACCTGTAGCTGCCACGTCGGCAAGCTATCCGTTAATGGCACTTCCGGTATATTACCCCCTCCTATAGCACCATTGTACTCGATATTGTCCCGATCTCCGCCGTACCCGATATAAGCTCCTCCCGAACCGCCATTCGCCTTCGCAGCAGCTACAGCAGAAGCTACACTTTCCACGTCAGCGACTTTATTGCGGCGCCTGCCGCCGCAGCAGCAGGGGAGGACGAATAGGAGGAGGAACAGCAGCGCCGCGTCAATCCCGAGGGAGAAGAGAAACGGGAGGGACGGAGACCCGTACTGGAAAAGGAATGTCATTGTAACGGGGCCAGCGACTGAGCCCACCGCCGCCCACGCGAACAGCATCGCGACCGCGCCGAATAGCAGCTCCCGCCCGCCTAACGCGGCCGCCGCGGTCTTCGGCGCTTCGGCGGCGGAAGATTTTTCCTGCTGCGCGGATGATGCTGACGTGGCGGTTCCTGGTTTCCCCCCTGCGGTGTCGGGCGCGGCGGCTAGCGCGGGAACGAGGTCCGAGGGATGCGGGGAGAGTGCGCCATCTTCCCCCGGAAGCACCTGCGGAAGCTCTTTCTTTGCGGAGGCGGCTGCGGAGGCGGAGGAAGCGGGGGAGGCGGAGGCGGAGGCGGAAGCGGAAGCGGAAGCGGAAGAGGAAGCGGAAGGGCTGTGCGCGTGCGTGGCGAACGAAAGAGCGCCGGCGCGCACAAGCTGCGTGCATATCCCCTGCAGCATGAGCGCGCCCGCGAGCCATAGCGGGCCCGCGGGGTACGCGAGCAGCACGAGCGTCGCGGCGTAGAGCAGCAAAGTGACCGTTAGGCCGCAGAACGCAGTGACGCACGAGAGCAGCGGGCAGGCGGGCAGCGCGAAGAGAATGGCGGCTGTGGACCGGCCCGCGAGGAGAAGTGTTGAGGAAGTTTCGGGCAGGTGGAAAAGTTTGGCGAAGGATGGGAGGAGCGGCGCGATTGAGCTGACGTTGAACTGATCGAAAAACATTGAGCCTGGAGGCACGGGGAAACGTCGGGGGGAAACGTGGGATCGGGGGGCGGGGGAAGGCGGGGGGTGAGGGAGGGGAAGGGATGAGGAGAAGGTACCGGGAAAAAAGGTCATACTATCCCTGCTGGGCCAAGCATTTACTCGAGCCGCGCATTACTCGCGCTCGAACTCGAGCCAAATCCGTCTCACAACAGGAGAGGGGCAGATGCGTTCTACCGACCGTAAGCTGACGAATTTCGCGGGGCCTAGTAAGAGATTGTAAGCAGCGAGGACTCATGAGACCTCTCGAAAGTACCTGCTAGGAGTCGGAGCAGGCACATGTCTTTACTTGAAAGCCCCGCGTTTCTCACGCTCGAGCCGCTCATCGCAACTTCCGCTGCTGCTTCAGCGGGAATCACGGCGGCGGATCCGCTATCCTTCTGCGAGCCTCCATAACTCTCGCGTTCCGCATTCCCGGCTGCTTCTCTTGCCGTAGAACCGCTAGCAGACTGAACAGAATTTCTTAGAGCCTCCTCCAACGTCATTTTCTCCCAGTAGCCTTTTCACGAGGCCGACTAATCGCCCTCTACTAGTGTGAAGTAGACCCCTTGGATAGTCGATGATTAAAGCCGAACCAAAAATGCGTAGATTATTCCTCTTTTCGGTTCCGATGTCTATTTCTTCGCCGAAGCTTCTCAAAACAGAAAAACTGGCCAAATTGGCAGGCCGCGTAGATGCGTGCTCTTTCCTGTCCAAGTGTGTCTGGTCGTTGTGACCATTCCAAGTTTCCTGTCTGGCAAAGAAAAATAAAATGAAAAAACGGGAGCTATGCGGAGCTCAGGTTTCGCAGTTCCCTTTGCTCGCTCTCTTCCAAAGGTACAAGGCGCTTGCGCAACGAACCTCCGCTGCACTCCTCGATCGTCTAATCTCGCGCGGAACACACGAGGTCAAGAATTCGGCGAACTCTTACTCATGTGGTAGAATCTGCTCTTTTTTTGCAAGAATATCACGTTCGACTAACAAAGCTGCTCAAGAAGCAGTTGAGGCAGCAGCTATAATTGTTGTGCGCCAAGTCTGAGATGCCTTGCGCGTTCCAAATTCCTTCTCCGCTCATTCGAAGTCACGAGTCAAATGACGACGGCTCCAATTGCTACTGGCGAACATAGGGGTGCAGAGCGGTACTAGCTGATTGGCGGTTTGAAATGAACTGCAATTTGTATGCCGTGTGCTGCGGGAGCTCGCATCCATCGTTGAATCGCGTTCTTCAAATGCTCATCGACGGTGCATGTGAAACACGGCAGCGCGACTCGCAATTATTGAAGTGGCGAGGTGATTGGAACGCAGATTGAAGGCCAGGTCGTTCTGAGAAAAGCCTTGCTATAGGGGTGAGATCCTACTGCGTATTATGCAATGATTTTCCCACTCAGTTAATCTCTAACTATATACGATAGCAGCAGTTTCATCAAATATGGAAAGACACACTTTACCAAAATGTAGAATGTACTGGTACCAGAAACAGTTTCAAAGTCCATTCGATATTTGGATAAAGCTGCGACATAATAAATTTGACTGAATGTATTAATACTCATACAGCATTCCAAATTCAATCACACGTCATCCAAAAACTGGATGAAATCAGCAAGCTCCTCCTCACTCACATACCTCGCTGCACTACCAGGAAGAATTGCAGATCCGCCACCTGTGCCAACACCACCGGCATCACCAGATTTCGCAGCACCAGCCGTTGCAGCAGCAGCTGCAGCAACAGCAGTTAATACAAGAATGTCACCAGAATTATCATCAGCACGAGGCTCTTCAGCACCAGTGGCACATGAGGGGCCAGCGGCGCATGAGGGGTCAGATGCACATTCCGTGGTGTCAGCACCACCATCTGCCTTTGCGGCACGCACAACAGCAGGTTCAGGTGCCACAGCAACAGGTTCAGGTGCCACAGCAGCAGGTTCAGATGCTTCAGCTGCAGGTCCATGTGCCACATCAGCAAGAGGACCAAATGCAGGTGACATGGCAGCAGCAGCAGCAGCAGCAGCAGCAGCATCAGATCCCTCCAAATCCATTACCAGTACCTTCTCCCCTTCTGTACCCTCCTCTTCCTTCTCTTCTGTACCCTCTTCCTTATCTTCTGTAACCTCCTCTTCCTTCTCCTCTAATATACCCTCCTCTATCTTCTCTTCTGTAACCTCCTCTTCCTTCTCCTCTAATATACCCTCCTCTATCTTCTCTTCTGTACCCTCCTCTTCTGTCTCTTCTGCACCCTCCTCTTCCTTCTCTTTTGTACCCTCCTTCTCTTCCTTCTCTTCTGTAACCTCCTCTTCCTTCTCCTCTAATGTACCCTGCTCTACCTTCTCTTCTATACCCTCCTCTTCCTTCTCTTCTGTACCCTCCTCTTCCTTCTCTTCTGTACCCTCCTCTTCCTTCTCTTCTGTACCCTCCTCTTCCTTCTCTTCTGTACCCTCCACTCCCTTCTCCTTCTCATCTGTACCCTCCTCTTGCTTCTCCTTTTCTGTACCCTGCTCTCCCTTCTCCTTTGTACCCTCCTCTTCCTTCTCCTTTTCTGTACCCTCCTCTCCCTTCTCCTCATCTGTACCCTCCTCTTCCTTCTCCTTTTCTGTACCCTCCTCTTCCTTCTCCTTTTCGCCACCAGGAAGCCTTATCTCGTCGCTCCCTGCTTCCCTTCCGTCCGCTTGCGCTTCTGCCTCCTCCATTATGCACGCCTTCAGCCCCTCACCCTCTTCTTTGTGTTTGCTGCTGGATCCTTTGCCATCAGCACCAGAAGCACCAGCATCAGCACCAGCACCAGCACCAGCAGCACCAGCACCAGCACCACCAGCACCACTACCACCAGCACCAGCGTCCCCATCCTCCTCCTCATCCTCGTCCTCTAGAATCACCCGTCGCCTCTTCGCCTTGTGATTCACGCCTGCACCCACACCACCAGGAGCAGCCACCATGGCTTCTGCTGTGGCGCCCGTGCCCAAATTACCAGGGACAGCCACAGGATGACTTTTGAGTCGACTCAAAAGCCTCTTCGCCTTGCGCTTCACGCCTGCACCCACACTGCCAGGGGTGTCCCTCGGGGCCTCTGCTGGGCTGCCCGCGCCCATGTCATCCTCCATAAGAGCATCCTCACTATGCGCAGTGGGGGAATCAGAGCCTGCTGCAGCAATGCTCTGTGGCTGAGCGGCGGTTGGAGTGGCAGACGGGTTGGCGGCTGGAGTGGCGGCTGGGTTGGCAGATGGGATGACAGCTGGCGGTGACTTCTCTGGGGTAAACTCCATGTCAGCACCTTCCACGTCAACAGCTTCCACATCAGCCTCTTCCACGTCGGCCTCGTCCACGCCAATCTTACCGTCCTCCTCGCCCCTTGAACCAGCATCCGCGTCAGAATCTTCATCAAGACTTCCGTCAAGGTCGCTGTGACGGTTGGGACTTATTCGACCACTCTTGCTGCTTGCGCGTGGGCTATTGTTGCTCTGCTCCCCCTGCCAGGCGGGCCCTTGAGTCGCCTTGACACCATCATGCCCACTATCATTCTCCCTGCCACCTACACCGTGTTCCCCACCACCATTGGCAGCAGCAGCAGCAGCAGCACCATCGGCACCAGCAGCACAAGTGCCCGCAACGCCACCATTGGCACCAGTAGCACCACCACCAGCCCCGTCATTCCCAAAGCCCCAGTCATCATCCCAACCACCTCTTAGCCCAGGAAATTCGTCATCACGCTGCTCCTCCTCTGCTGCACCCGCAGTGCCATTGGCAGCAGCAGCCCCATTGGCAGCAGCAGCCCCATTGGCAGCACCAGTGCCATTGGCAGCAGCAGCACCAGTGGCAGCAGCAGCAGTAGCGGCACCAGCAGTAGCAGCACCACCAACCCCGTTCCCAAAGCCCCAGTCATCATCGTCATCATCCCAGCCGCCGCCAAGCCCAGGAAAGTCGTCGTCACGCTGCTCCTCGCCTGCTGCACCCGCAGCGTCGCCATCCCCACCACCGCCTTCCCCATCACCTGCGTCTGCATCCGCCGTTTCTTTAAAGCGATCGCTACCGATGCCCCTCCCGTGCTCGAAGTCGTCGACTAGGTCGCGCACGCCCGCCTGCAAATCATGTGGTGGTGGAGATGACAAGGTAGGTTCAAAGGGGAATACTTTTTGAGGCGCCTAAACCAACGTCTCAACGCCTCTCCCGTGCTCGAAATCGTTGATTAGGTCACGCACGCCAGCCTGCACATTAGGTGATGGATATGACACGGTATGTGGTGGAGATGACACGGTATGTGGTGGAGATGACACGGTACGTGGTGGAGATGACACGGTACGTGGTGGAGATGACACGGTACGTGGTGGAGATGACACGGTACGTGGTATAGATGACACGGTACGTGGTGGAGATGATACGGTATACGGTACACGGGAGAGCTGGGATGAGCTGGCAGTTCCGCACTCACCCTGACGCTGCGCGTGCTGCCGAGTTTTTCCACCTTCTCGATGAACTCCGCAAAGGGTACTACGTGGTCCGGAAGCAATGTGTACACACGAATACAAGCCTCCAACAGGGACCATTTCGCACTCACTCTGACGCTGCGCGTGTTGCCGAGCTTCTCCACCTTCTCGATGAACCCCGGGAAGGAAAGCGCCGGGATAGGCAAGCTGGGACGATCTGGCAGTTTCGCACTCACCCTATAACGCTGCGTGCACTCACCCTGACGCTGCGCGTGTTGCCGAGTTTTTCCACCTTCTCGATAAACTCCGGGAAGGAGAGAGCCGGGAAGGAGCTGGTAAGGGGAGCTGTGATAGTCGAGCCGGGACGCTCTGGCTATTCCGCACTCACCCTAACTCTGTGTGCACTCACCCGGACGCTGCGCGTGTTGCCGAGTTTCTCCACCTTCTCGATAAACTCCGGGAAGGAGAGAGCCGGGAAGACGCGCTTGTGCCACCCCACGTATCCTTCCAGGATCCTTCGCAGATCCCCCACCTGCCAGGCGAAGTCACAGACATGCGGACAGTAGCAGCGATTAGTAAGGCACAGTAGGCACCTAACGAATAGAAAAGTACAGAAATGTCACAAGTGAAAACACAAGTCAAGTCCCAGCAGGCGGCTTCTTGTGGTGAAAAGTTAGTCTCGATATTTCGATACCGTCGGGTCAGGAGTTCCGACACGAAACACACCTCGGTCAGTTCCCACTCACCGAGTCGTGTCCCTTCCCTCGCAGTTTGATCTGCGTCGGCAGCTCCTTCAGCACGTACGGCAGGCCCTCGTCCGACAGCAGCATCGTCGCAGTCACGGCAATCCCCAGGTGAGTCTCCGATTGACACAACACACACATTTGGACCCGTTTCCACTCACCTCGTGTCCGTTCCCCCGCAGCTTGATCAGCTTCAGCAGGCAGCCCCTCGTCCGACAGCAGCATCGTCGGTAGTGTCAGTTCCCGATCAACACAACAAAGTACACTTCTCAAGTTCAGAGCCACTTCCTCCCACTCACCTCGTGTCCCTTCCCTCGCAGCTTGATCTGCTTCGGCAGCTCCTTCAGCACGTACGGCAAGCCCTCATCCGACAGGAGCATCGTCGCAGTCAGCTTCGGCCGCTTCCGCGTCACCTTCATCCCCACCGCCGCCGCCGCCGCTGGCGCGCTTTGGCTGAGCGGATCGATGGCGTCGGCGCCATCCATGCCCGCGCGCTGCGTGTTCGCGCCCGGACCGTTGGAGAAACCGTTATACGGCCGCTTGCCGCCCTGCGGGGTGGCTGAGCCGAAAGGCCGCTGGTTCGGGGACGCGTTATGGTTGTTCGCGTTATTCGGTGCAAAGCGGGCGTTGAGGCCTTCGCCGGAGTCGCGTGCTTCGGCGGTGCGATTTTCGGCGGTGCGGCCGTCATTGCCGCCGAAACTGCAGTCTTTGGACCAGTGGCCGGGCCGGCCGCACTTGTAACAGCCCGTCGTTTCGAACACGGTCGGCTTGGCTGCAGGGGGAAAACTCGGTCCTCTCACGCCGCTCGTCGTCATGGCTCCCTATCTAAAATAACAGTCGGGGGAAGGAGAAGTCAGTGGTAGTCAGTGCATCAACACGAAACACGAACTGATCAACCTCAAATATCCCAAACGTATCTAATGACCCGAAAGCAAGAAACCACGATTTCCTGCTGCAATCAGGTATGCAACATGATCGACATCAACTAATTAGTGATTTGGCAGTCGAGAAAGTCGTGCGAGCAGAGAGAATCAACTCGATGCACATGAGTAGAAGTGCTGTCTGCAGTAGGCCATCAACGTATGGGGATTGGTTCTATTGCAAGCGCCAGTTCCCAGGTTCCAAACTGAAGCTCATCGCGCAGCGCGAATTTGAATTTCGAGTTTGGATATCCGTTTTGACATACCGTACTGGCATCCTCGCTTGCGGAAAAATATCGTCAAGTGAGCTTGCTGGAGATGAAAAACGTTTTGGAGATAAAACAGTATTACCACATTACTTGATAAATATTTTTATGTTGGGGGCCAATTTTATCGTAAAAACTATTCACAATGCCCCCTGCTTGTTCCCCCCTCATCAAGCTTCACTTATTTGATACCGATAATCAATCATGACAACGGTTGGCTCAATCCATGTCACACAACACACCTAACACAATACCATCATATTGCTAACTTTGGCCCGCTACGAGCACAAACTCTACTCCTCCCCAACTGTGCGACTCCACCCGAATCCAATCCTCCTCATCCCCCCTTGCTCCCACGCCTGCTGCACCACCCTCTGTGGAATCTGTTTCCTTATCCATCTCTGACACAGCGTCTGACGTGGCAGATGACGCGCCACTTGGTGCTGCAGGGAAGAGCAGGGAGTGCCCCTCGTTTTGAAACACGGCCTCTCCTCGTGGGCCAAACATCGCCACGCCCTGTGAGAATGAAGATGAAGGGATGGTGGGATGGAGAGCAAGAGTGGGGAATATTTCTAATAGGCACTGCATGGAAACTCGGGAACACGACCTCTCCTCGCGGACCAAACATCGCCACGCCCTGTGAGTGGGAATGAAGTGTTGGTGGAACGGACAGCACGCGTGCGAATGGGTGGGGGGGGGCAGTAGGCGGACAGTGGCAGTAAGGACAAGCAGCAGCAAAGGAGCAAGAAAGGGGACATGAACAGGATTGGCACAAGGCAGAACAAGGCACCAGTTGTAACAGTGCTAGTCCCCACATGGCAGAGATTTGAAACACGCAAGTTGCAAGGTCAAGCAGCAGCAAAGAAGCACAAGGCAGGATTGGCACACGGCAGAACAAGGACCAGCTGTGACAGTTCTTGGTTAGAGAGATGGCATACGGAACTTGTCGGAAGAAAATATGGAAGTAGGAAGTCAGGTACAAGTGGCATGACGCATCCACGCACACATGAACACGCATACACGTACACATGAACACGCATACACGCACACATGAACACGCATACACGCACACATGAACACGCATACACGTACACATGAGCACGCATACACGCACACATGAACACGCATACACACACACATGAACACGCATACACACACACATGAACACGCATACACACACACATGAACACGCATACACACACACATGAACACGCATACACACACACATGAACACGCATACACGCACACATGAACACGCATACACACACATACATGTCACCACAACGAAAAACGGGCACACAGAAGCAGGCAAAACAGCTTCGCACTTACAATCCAGGCAGCCCAATGAATTCTCAATCTCAGACACACGATCCAGGCCAGCCCAATGAATTCTCATTCTCAGACATACGATCCAGGCCAGCCCAATGAATTCTGAATCTCAGACATACGATCCAGGCCAGCCCAATGAATTCTCAATCTCAGACATACGATCCAGGCCAGCCCAATGAATTCTTAATCTCAGACATACGATCCAGGCCAGCCCAATGAATTCTCAATCTCAGACATACGATCCAGGCCAGCCCAATGAATTCTGAATCTCAGACATACGATCCAGGCCAGCCCAATGAATTCTCAATCTCAGACATACGATCCAGGCCAGCCCAATGAATTCTCAATCTCAGACATACGATCCAGGCCAGCCCAATGAATTCTCAATCTCAGACATACGATCCAGGCCAGCCCAATGAATTCTGAATCTCAGACATACGATCCAGGCCAGCCCAATGAATTCTCAATCTCAGACATACGATCCAGGCCAGCCCACCTCAAGGACGTATATGAGGGCGGACTGAGTGCGGGCCAATGGGATGTTGACAGCTGTCACATCCGAATATATTTTTGCTATCTCAGACATGCAATCCAGGCAGCCCACCTCAAGGACGTAAATGAGGGCGGACTGAGTGAGGGCCAATGGGATGTTGACAGCTGTCACATCCGAATATATTTTGCAATCACAGCCATACATGCCAGCCAGGCCAGCCCACCTCAAGGACGTATATGAGGGCGGACTGAGTGGGCGCCAATGGGATGTTGACAGCTGTCCCTGGCCGCATGTACATGTGGAGCATGAGCTGGGGGGTGGTGGAACGGGCAGGGGGAAGGGAGGAGGAAGGGAGGGGGTAAGACGGGGAGGAGTAAGTGGAGGGGGTAGAAACGTGTGGGGAAAAGGAGTGAGAATGTGAAAGAAAAATGGTTGGGAATTGAAGCTGTTGGAAAGGGGTTGAATGGGCTGCGATGGCTGGTGACGTTAAGTTGAAGGGAAAAAGGGGTTGAAAGTGTAAGCGGGGTTACAATGGGCAAGAGTTCGGTGAGTGGGAGTGCAGATTAGAGGAGGGGAGAGAGGGAGAGACAAGTGTGAGACAGGGAGTGGTAAGTGAGGGAAGGAGTGATGCGTGCGAGGGACAGATAGTGAGAGAGGGGATTGAATCTGCTTGTACCTGCCGTGAGAGAGGGGATAGATACAAAGGATCGTTTGAGAGAGGGGATTAGATTGACGAGTCAAGGATCAACATAAAGTCTCAGTGAGTGACAAAATGAGAAGGAAATAATAAAGTGAGAGAGCGAGACACGAACGGAGAGAGAGGGTGAGAAAGCGAGAGCGGGACTGACAAAGTGTGAGAGGGGCGGAGGGGTGCAAACGTCCCTGAACCGCCCAGCCACCACCCGAACCTGCGCCGCCCCCGACCCTTGCGCCTCCCTCTCCGCCCTCCTCCCCCCCTCCTCCCCTCCGCTTCCCCCTTCCCCCTCTCCCCCCGGACCAGGGGGAGCCGGGGCGGCGGGGAGGAGCACGCATGGCGCAAGAGCGGCGGAGCGGAGGTGCGAGAGGACCAGATGAGGGGGAGGGGGAGGGGGGCGGGCGGAAGAGGCGGAAGAGGCGGAAGTGGGGGGCGAGGGGGAAGAGGGGGCGGAAGAGGAGGCGGGAGAGAAGGCGGGAGATGACGTTTCACCATTCGCCCCCAAGATTCTAACGTCAGAGGCCCAGAAAACTTCGATTCCGCGCCCCTGCGCTTGCCCTCCCCCTCCCGCGTTCCACTCCCCTTCCTCCCCCCAGTCAATCTCCCCCCAATCCTCCGCCTCTTCCCCCCACTCCTCCTCACCCTCCGCCTTTCCCGCTTCCGCCAGCATGAACACTAGGGACTCAAGCGCGCGTCCGGGGGGAGCGGGGGGGAGCGCGAGCGAGGGGAGGGAGAAAAACTCGTCAACCGCAATAATGGGGGACAGGGGGGAGGTTGCGCTGATTGTTTCTCCGCCTTCCGCCTCTCCGCCTTCCCCGCTACCGCCGCCCCCGCCTCTGCTTCTCCGCGGACCAAATGCGCGCGCGGTGTCCCCCTCGGCGGAAACTTTGCTCGCGGTGATCGTTTTCGTTGCGCGCCTGCTCATTCCCCCGCCCTTCCGTGCAGTCCGCGCAGTCTCCGCTGCTGCAACAGCTCCCCGTCCCCCATCCCCTTCCGCCGCACACCTGGCGCGAAACAGTTGGTGCGGAATTTCGCGCAATTCCCGCTCGCCATTTCGACATTTCCCCGTGCCTCGCAAGCGCACTCTTTGTACCGTCCAGGCGTCGGGATTCAACGCTTTCGAACGTACTCGAACGCCATCTGAGCCACAATGCACCGCGCCGCTACGGAAACCAAAATTGGACCGTTGTTGTTCGCACCAAGCGCTGAAGTCGAACCGCAAAATTGGCCGTCCTCGCAATGCCGACGAGGGACGCGAGTCTAACCGCGACACGGTGCTGAGTATAGACCGCGGAGGGCTGAGACGAGGAGCGGAAGCCATGGAATGCAGAGGCGGTATTGTATTGAATTCTGGAGGTGCTGTGAATTGGATTGTGGAGAAGACAGCGCGCTGAGGGAGAGGCGACAAATTCTCCTCGATACTGAAGCATCCCCTACATCGTTAGAAGAATGCATTTGTACGTTACCATATTACCGTAAATTCGTGTTAGAGAGGAATGAAGTGAGGTCTCTAAGGTGCAAAAAGAGGTGGAATTGGATATGAACTGAGGTAGGAATGCATGTGAGTAATACAATTCAACGAAGATTGGTAGTGTAAGAAGCAAATGTGAAAAGGCGGACAGCACGAAGCAAGCAACATATTTTCCTCACATCACAGTGCACTCTCGTGTCTTGTGAAGCGCATCTATTATGAGGGGAATTACAGCTGCTGTGAAGCAAACAGTCACACTCCACTCCAATCTTGAACATAGCAAAAGCAACCTGAGATGGGGCTTCAATTCAGTTGGCACTACTTCCTCTAACTCACTATCACATATGGTACATACACTCCATTCTCCAATCTTCCCACTTGCCAAAGGTAACAGATTAACCTGGCACACCACTTATGACACAACAAGGTCTACCTCAGGCATCGCCCTTAACCACTCTGGAGCGCCTTTCACACCCTTGCATCCCCGGATCTCCACTTGCCAAAGCCTGGGCAGCTGGCTCATTGACTCGGGCAGCTCGGAAAATTTTGGCAGCCTTTCCAACTCTAACCATTCCAGAGATGAAAGTAACCCTAAATCTGCTGGTAACCGATCTAGTTTCCCACAGTCCGCTATGCCGAGCTTGGCCAATCGGAGAAGGCGGGAGAACGAATCAGGAAGGCAGCGCAGCAGGCAGCAGTCATGCAGGGTAAATTGCTCTAGGCGGGACAGCTGCCCGAAAGAATCAGGCAGGGCAGCGAGACCGGGCAGGCTAGAAAGTTTCAAGGTCCGGAGGCTAGACAGAAGGCCAAAAGTTGGGGGGAGGGACGAGAGGCGATCACACGAGGCGATAGTGAGGGAAGTGAGGGAGGGGGCTAAGGGGAGGGAGGGTGGTAGTGTGGCGAGGCTGTGGAGTTGAGAGAGGTGGAGGGAGGTGAGACGGGGTAGGAGGCTGATGGTTAAAGGCAGGTGTGTCAGTGATTCACAATCCGTTATTGAGAGCGACTCTAACGAGTACATAGCAGACATGCCATGACGCCGCTTCATATCCTCCGAATTTTCCAGCTCCTCCAGTTCCCCCTTTCCCTTTCCTTCCTCCTTCTCCTTCCCTTTCCCCTCCCTTCCCCCCCATTCTCTCTCCTCTTCCCCTTCTCCACCCCCCTCCGCCTCCCCCTCCTCCCCTGTTTCTCCTGCTCTTTCTCCCAAGACAGTCGTCAGGGACGCACATGATTGGATGACAAGGGATTGCAGGGAGGAGAGGCGGCAGAGGGAGGGAGGGAGGGCGGTCAGCAAGGGGCAGTGGCTGATGTGCAAGTGAGTGAGGGTGGGAGCGAGGAGGGAGAGGGAGTGGGGGATGGAGGCGACGTGCGAGAGGTGTGAGAGAGTGAGTGTGGCGAGCGAGGGGAGGGAAAAGAGTGAGTGAGGGAGGTGTATGATGTGCGCGTTGTGCTTCAAGTCAATGTGAAGCGTCACCAATCCTATCATCCCACCGGACCCTTCAAGTGTGTCCGATCCTGCAGCAGCAGCAGCAGCAGCAGCAGCAGCAGCAGCAGCAGCAGCGCCAGTTACCGCATCTGCACCCGTTAGAGCCACACCCGTTATATTAGCATTGGGTGCGGTGTGAAACGGGAGGAGGGTGAGATCAGAGAGGCCGTGCAGCTTCAAGTGGAGGAGAGTGGGGGAGCAGGAGAGGAAGGGAGGGAGGCGGGAGATGCGAGGGCAGTCAGAGACAGTGAGGGAATGCAAAGAGGGGAGAGGAGGGGGGAATGGAGGAACAGTGTCAGACTGAATAGTGTCATAATAAATAGAATCATTATGAACAGTGTCATCCCCGTCAAAGAGTGACTCCATTTGGCCGTTACCGTCCACGATCAGCTCCTGCAGTGACGGCAGGTGCATCCAGGTGCGAGGCAGCGCGGTGAGGCGCGCACAGAGAGAGATGCGCAGGCTGGTGAGCGATGGGAGTAGGGGGAGGGGCGCCTGGGAGGGGGAGGTGGTGCTGCTGGTGTCAAGGATCCCTCCGCTGCCGCCGCCGCTGCTGCTGCTGGCGGTGGTGCTGCTGCTAGTGGTAGTGGTGTTGCTGCTGCTGTTGCTGCTGCTGCCATTCCCCGCACCTGCTCCCCCCTGCGCAGCACGAGCGGGCGGCAGCGGCGCAGGCGCGGACGGCAGACGGGCGAGGGCGCCGCAGGCGGAGACATTCAAGGAGCGCAGGGCGGAGAGCGCTGTGAGGGACGCGGGGAGACTCTGCAGCATATCACACGAGGTGATGTCTAGATGATGGAGCGAGTGGGAGAGGAGGTGGAGGGAGGCAGGGAGGGAGGTGATGAGTGGGAGGAAGGAGAGAGTGAGGGAGCGGAGGTGGGGCAGATGGCAGAGCTCGTCGGGGAGAGAGGAGAGGGCGGGGCAGTTGGAAATGGTGAGGTGAGTGAGGGAGGCGGAGAGAGCAGTGAGGGCAGGTAACTCCTGCATGTGCTTCCATCCCAGTAGCTCCAGCCGGGCCAGTCCCGCCCTGCTCTCCCCCGCATCCTCCTTACAAGCTGGCTCGATAAAAGGTTCCCCGTTCTCCCCTGCCGAAACTGCACTGAGATCGCCGTTTTCCGGTTCCTCCGCTGCGCCTGGAGCAGGCGGGGGGGATGCGGAGAGGAGCGCGGGCAGGGGGGTGCGCAGGGAGGGGAGGTACGCGAGGGTGAGCGCGCGGAGGCGGGGGAGGCGCGCGGGGAGGGAGACGGGGACGGCGGAAAGCGTGGCGCATTCGCGGAGCTCGAGGGTTTCGAGAAGGGGGAGGGCGGCGGGGAGGGATGCGGGGAGCGCGCGGAGAGCGCGGCAGCGGCCGAGGGAGAGGTGGCGGAGGGCGGAGAGCGTGGGGAGGGGGGGTGCGGGGGAAGGAGTGTTCGAGAGGGAGAGCGAGGCGAGCGAAGTAACTAGCGAAGAATTATTCTCCTGAGGCAGAATGTCGCTACTCTGACGAGCGGCATTCTCCGATGCGGCATCTGCTGGATTCGCATCTAAAATGCTTGAATCGTTTGGTTGAACGGAGGTTTCCAGAGTCTCGTCGATGTCTGTCGCGAAGCCGGCTGGAAGCTTCTCTAAGGCTTCTGCGTTGATCGATAGACTGACGAGGGCGGAAAGTTGACGGAATCCGTCAGGAAGGTGTTTTAGTCCCCTAGCAGTGATTTTTAGCGCCGCCAAGCGAGTCAACCCGCAGATTGACGGAGGAAGAGCGGTCAGATTTGGCGGGCAGTGCAGCTCCAGAGATTCGAGCCGCGCGCAGGAAGAGAAAAGCAACGCGAGCCCGGCTTCAGTGAAGGCGGCGCGGTGGTCAGGACGTGACGACGTGGATGCGACGCGCCTACCGCGAATGGTAACCGGCTCGGCCATGTTGCCGAGATGGAAGTGAGTAAGCGATGGACACGTGGCAGCTAACTGAGAGAGAAGGTGATCGTTGGCCAATGAGAGGCTTCCATCTGGCAGAACGACTGACGTCAGCGACGGGAACGAAGCGACGCCCTTCAAGAATCGCCGGGTGCACAGCCGTCGCTCAGGCGACAGTGCGACGTGCGAGCGATTTGCACAGGCGACACGGTACCATCGGCGACAGACGAGGGCGTAACTACCGTCAATCTCATCAGATCCAGAGCTAGAGATCCCGGTGAGATCATGAGAAGAATCGGCGCGCCGTTTGCCGACGGATGGCTGGGAGCGACTAGATGCAGGCTGCGACGGATGGTCGCAGTGCGACTGCTGCTGCGAACATGGCGCCGACGTGTCTCCGCCATGAGCGACGGGCTCAACGTAGCTGAAGATGCGACCGAGTATGTCGTCCGAGAGGCCGTCGACGGGAGAGGATTCCACACAGATGATGTCCGACATTGGATAATTCTTGGCGTCAACCGCCTGAATCGAGAGATCAGCCATTGCCTGAATAGTTGCTGGTGGGTGGCTGAGATGGGACTGAGATGGCTGGGAGTTACTGACGAGAATTGAGACACAAGACACAAGCCTACTCCCTGACGTCCTGTACTCCACTGTACTGCAGCAGCACTCCTAGAAGAGATCTACGAATGAACCAGCTGAGATACTTTGTGCCGACCGATCGAGGGCGCGGCGGAAACAGACGGGACGGAACGGAATGGGAGTTTTTTTTTTGGGTTGCGAAGCAACCTATTACGATCGATTTGGCCAGTTTTTTGGGTTGCGAAGCAACCCTTTACGATCGATTTTGCCAAATTTTATTTTCATATTTATATTCAATAAAACATGAAAATAAAATTCGTAAACTACAATAATACCCCTCCCATACTGTGCATGTTGAGCAGTTTTAAATATTGTTCTCTGTCTTTTGGGCAATGATTCTCCTTCATTGTAGTAGTTTGTTGTACTGTTTGCAGTATATTTTTACCGTGCTGTTCGGTGCAATGATTATTACTTTGAGTCATGAAATGCATGATAATCATGTTATGAATTTCACACGCATGCTTATACGAATGTAATGAAACAAGTGAAATAGATGCTTATGCATGGAGAATGCTTTAGTATGCATAACGTATAATGTGGAATATTAAAACACGCACGTGCATGATGGTAAATGGATAAAATGCGTGCTAGTTAACAACCCAAAAGCTAAGCTACCGCATCCCCTGCCTAGCATGGGGGGGAGGTCAATAGCTTAAATTTTGAATAATCAACTACCACATGAAACAACACAACCTATGAAGTCTAAAAAAAAAAGTCAACTCTATCAAATCCAGTTCGAAGTGGTCACACACGAGTCACTGAGCGCACCAATGAACCTTTTGTGAAATGATAGACCTGAGCTTCATTTTTAAATATCACAGACATGCATTGTTATTGCAATGGATATGGATGAATGCATACAACCACAGCACACACGCACGAGAGCACACACACACATAAAAATACATATACAAGATCACACACATTCACACAAACACAAAAACTCAATGCACAAACTGATAAAACAATAAAACATGCAAACATCAATACAATACAATCCTACATTTCACCATTACTACGTATCCACTTCACAAGTAATCTTGGTAGATGTACACATCTGGAACGAAAATCTGAAGGAATGAAGGAGAGGAAAAGAAAGGAAGAGGGGAGAGAAGAAAAAAAATATCAAAGTGTGGAGAAAATAGAAAAGAAAGCAAGGCAGATGAGGAGAAGAACATAGTAACCAAACAGAATGCAAGCTAATGGTGGTAAGGAAAAAAAATGATGAAGAACGATATACATTAAAAAAACAGAACAAAAAAAAACAGAGCAAGTAATAAAACAGGAAACGACGATATACAACGGAGAGGGAGAGCGAGAGCGAGAGCGAGAGAGAGAGAGGACGAAAGAGAGAGGACGAGAGAGAGAGGACGAGAGAGAGAGGACGAACCAGAGAGAACGAACGAGAGAGAGAGAACGAACGAGAACGAGAGAGATAGAACGAGAGAGAGAGAACAAGAGAGAGAGAACGAACGAGAGAGAACGAGAGAGAGAGAAAACGAGACAGAGAACGAGAGAACGAGAGAGAGAGAACGAGAGAGAGAGAGAACGAGAGAGAGAACGAGAGAGAGAGAACGAACGAGAGAGAGAGAGAACGAGAGAGAGAGAACCAGAAAGAGAGAACGAGAGAGAGAGAGAGAGAACGAGAGAGAGAACGAGAGAGAGAGAACGAACGAGAGAGAGAGAGAACGAGAGAGAGAGAACCAGAGAGAGAGAACGAGAGAGAGAGAGAGAACGAGAGAGAGAGAGAACGAAGGAGAGAGAGAACGAGAACATGAGAGAACGAGAGAGAGAGAGAACGAGAGAACGAGAACGAGTGAACGAGAACGAGAGAACGAGAGAGAGAAAACGAGAGAGAGAGAGAACGACAGAGAGAACGAGAGAGAGAGAAAGAACGAGAGAACGAGAGAGATAGAACGAGAATGAAAGAGAGAGAGAACGAGAGAGGTAGGACGAGAGAGAGAGAACGACATGTTGCTCGGGTCGAAATGGTTTAAATTTATCTGGCTATCAAGGAAAAGAAGGTTAGCGTTCAAATCGACATAACAAGAACATAAGATGAAAGGAAGTAAAAACGTCAATGAAATATGCAAATACGAGGTTGTAAGCATGCAAAACAGGAAAGAGACGATGAATAGTAGAAGAATGGATGCAATCTAGTGAAAGACCTAAAGCTAAAGTATCTACAACAATCCTAGAACCTAAGCCTTAAACAACATGCGGCCAATACTATATTAAACAACTACGATATGAGACTAAGAAATGGTAGTCTAGCTTCTAATGATCTGATTTGGCTCAAAATGAGAAGTTAGGGTAGTTCTTACCTTGCACTAGTAGGTGGAGCGTGTCTGGCGGGGAGCTCAACTAGCGAGAAGGAGGAGCGGGAGAAAAAAGGGACGAGCAAACCCTAAGGTAGTCCCAGGTTCGTCGCAAAACTTTAGATAGAATAATATTTGTAGAACATTGGTGCTGCCGTAGTCGTGCGAGGAAGGATGCGGAATCGAAAGGCCACCAGATCCATTCTTGCTGATGCGATTTTTTTAATCTTTGCAAAGTGAGTGGAAGTACCACTTAGTGTCATACTACAGCATCATGTACAGAATTAGAAGTTGTACACATTTATGTAATTACGCAAAACGCTTCGCAACCCTAAGACGATTTCGTCGACTCTTGTTTTTTTTTTTTTTTTTTTTTTCACATTTTATTTATTTTAAATAGAATATGAAAATAAAAAAAACTGGATGCACTAATTGCTAGCTACGTAAACTGTAGGAGGTCCTGTCTAGTTCAATGATACTAACGTGGTGGTACCAATTTTTTTAGACAACTAAATTATTTCTGTGATTTATTTTGCTGTGATTTACTACCGTATAATATGCACATAATATGATGAGATGAATATAATGATCGGTGAATGTAGATGAATAGAATGATATTATATGAAATACGATATATTGTGTATGATATGATATGATAAATGATACATGCATGTCTTATGTCCGATACGAATAATGCTTACATATTACTGACAATCTGTGATGCAGATTTATAATGATAAAGATGCGTGAAAGCTAACGACCCAAAAACTATGCTACCGCATCCCCCGCCTAGAATGTCGGGGAGCTGATAGCATAATCTTTGAACAATCAGCAGTCACATGAGACAACACAATCTGTGACCTCTAAAAAGATGGTCAACTCTATCATCTCCAGTTCAAGTGGGCTCCCGACAGGCGCGCCAATGAACTTTTGGGTAAAAATGATAGAGCCGATTCACCTTTTTAAAACCCACAGACATGCATTGTTAATGAAATGGTGGATGAATGCACACTCATACAAGCAAACACATTCACAACAACCAAACGCATGCACAGAAAAAAACCGAGCCGAAACCCACGATAATACATAAAAGATGCAAAACAAAATAAAAATGACAATATGGTAAATCCTATAAGTGACAACTACAAGTTCTCCAGATTGAATTTGTGTTTCTGATCAGCAAGACTTCTGAGAACAAAAAAAAGATAAAGAGAAAAGGAGATCATACGAAAGTGGTAAACATGAATAATCATGATAAAAAATGATGGATGATGAAAAGGTAAGGCACGGTAGGGTAAACATAACAGAAAACATAGCATATCAAACAAAGCAGAAAACAGAATCATAAAACGGAAGCATAAAACGGAAGCATGAAACGGAAGCAGAAAACCGAAGCAACAAACTGAAGCAGTAAACATAATGAAGGAAGGACGGAAGGAGGTATGGAAAGTAGGAGGGAAGGAAGGAAGAGCGAGAGCGAGAGCCAGAGCAAGAGCGAGAGCGAGAGAACGAGAGTGAGAGAGGAGAACGAGAGTGAGAGAACAAGAGAGTGAAAACGAGAGAGAGAGAGAGAGAGAGAGAGAGAGAGAGAGAGAGAGAGAGAGAGAGAGAGAGAGAGACCGAGAGAACGAGAGAGAGAGAACGAGAGAGAGAGAACGAGAGAGCGAGAAAAACTGAGAGAGAAAGAACGAGAGAGAGAGAGAGAGAGAGAGAGAGAGAGAGAGAGAGAGAGAGAGAGAGAGAACGAGATAAAGAGAGAGATAGAACGAGAACGAGAGAGAGAGAACGAGAGAGATAGAACGAGAGAGAGAGAGAGAGAGAACGAGAGAGAGAGAACGGAAGAGAGAACGAGAGAGAGAGAACGAGAGAGAGAACGAGAGAGAGAACGAGAGAGAGAACGAGAGAGAGAGAGAGAGAGAGAGAGAGAGAGAGAGAGAGAGAGAGAGAGAGAGAGAGAGAGAGAGAGAGAGAGAGAGAGAGAGAGAGAGAGAGAGAACGAGTGAGAGAGACCGAGAGAGAGAGAACGAGGAAAAGAGAAAGAGAGAG